AACCTACAGAGTGCATTTATGAAATCAAAATGATATTATTCTGTCTTTTTCAGACTTCCTTTTGCACTACTCTGCAACTACATCACAGCAGTTCATCATTACAGCAACGGACAGCAATAAAACAGCACTAAAGAAGTTGCTATTGATAAAAATTATGGTCATAATGATGATTTATCATTGTAAAAGCATTTGCATGTGAGAAATAGTAAATTTTAGCTCAAATGCATTGTCACTTTGTGAGCAGTAAATGGCGGTAAAACGTTATTGGTTGCCACAGCAATATTGAAGTAGCGACTGTGTTTATTGCAATAGCAACGATTGGAAATGTCAAACATGAGCTTGAGAAGGAAGAGAATCCTTCCTTCTTCTGATTCTTGCTACATCTTGGGGCTAATGGACGGAAACTCTAGCGACAAGTCAGATTCCAATCTGTACTCAGATAGCGATGACGAGCAGCCTTCCAGCCTCAAGTCTCCACTATATCAACCTACCAGCTCTTTTCAGAGCTACCCAAATCTCTCCTCTACCAGCACTATTCAGAGCTACCCAAATTTCTCCTCTACCAGCTCTTTTTAGAGCTATCCAACTATTTCTCCTAACAGCTCTTTTCAAAGGTATGAAACTCTTGCCACTACCAGCACTTTTCAGAGCTCTGAAGCTGCTCTGATTTTCAGCCCACCCTTGAAAACTCAAGCACTTCTTTTACCAGCTCTTTGCAGAGCCACCAACTACCTGTATCTACTTGCTCTTTACCTAGCTCATATCCCTTACCACCTCCACTGACACCACCACTTGCAGTTCCACCAAGCATTTTTACTGGTACAAGGTCTTGCATGGAACCTAGCCGCTGCAGCTCCTCAATAGGTATAATTATCATAATAAGTATTTTATGGACAACAATAACAAAACAAAAATGTGTAGGAACTTCAGCTTCTGCTCCTAACTCTGCTACAGAACTAGGCACATTTTCTGTACTTGGCAGACCAAGTAAGACAAATAATTATCATTAATTTTACAATTAAAAGTACAACATGATTTTACACGTACAATAGCTCTTCGTTCACATCTCATCCTGGTGTATCTGAAGAAGCCCAGAATTGTACTACGCCAGTGGATTATTTCTCCCTCTTTTTCAGCACAGATATGAATGCCATGGTTTACCAGGAAAGCATCAGGTATGGGAAACAGAAGATTCCTACTACTGATTACTTGGAGAGACATCCAAAAGCAAGAGCTAATGAATGGCTAAAAAAGCCAATGCAAGAAGAGGAAGTAGATGTGCTTCTTGCTGTTATTATTGTTATAGGAATGTTGGGCTTTCCTAGATTGAGGTGAACATACAATAACATTCATAAAAAGGAAATTAAATTTTTATTTCTACAGAGATTATTGCAGTACTACATGGACCTTCCACAACGACTCTATCAAAAATTGTATCAGGGAGAAGGTTTGAGCTTTTATTGAAGTACCTATATGTCAATGATGACACGAAAATGGCACCAAGAGAGAGCCCATCTCATGATAAACTTCACAAAATTAGGCCATTGCTTGATAGCCTTGTAAAGTCTTTCAAAATGCATTATACACCCTCCCAGTGTCTATCAGTGGATAAATCTTTAGTTGGCTCCAAAGGAAGGGTTCTTTGTGCAGTACATGCCTAAGAAACCCACTAAGTGGGGAATTAAAACATGGACACTGGCTGATGCATCTAATGGGTACATATGGAATCTGAATGTGTACACGGGTTAGCCTGTATTTCTTATGTATTTACAACTCTTTTCATTTATAATCTTTTCTAGGGATGGACAGAAACAGTGACTCTGAGAAAGGTTTGGCACACAATGCTGTGCTAAGCCTTGTATCAGGACTTGAGGGAAAGAGATATCACATATATACTGATAACTTTTACACATCCCCTGACCATTTTTGTGAACTTAAACACAAAGGATTCGAAGCCTGCGGAACTGTCCGAATAAATAAAATTGGCATTCCAAGACTTTCAACAAACTTCAGTCCCCAATGGTACACAAGACAATAATAATTTTACTTTTCTATGATCATACAGGAGAAACAGTGACAACCACTATATCCAATGACGAAATTACTTGCATGAAATGGCACGATAAGTGTGTTGTCAACATGCTTTCAACATATCATGGAGATGAGATGATGGAAAAAGAGAGAAGAATTAGGACTGCAGAAGGAGGAAGAAAGAAAGTCAAGAAGCCTTGCATGATCGAGGATTATAACAGGCACATGGGTGGAGTGGACAAGAATGATCAGAGGGTGCTGTATTATGCCTATTGTCATAGGTTACATTATGTACCAAAATACCTATTACTTACTTCATCATTTTAGGTCCAGAAAGTGGTAGAGACGCCTATTTTTTCACTTGATGGAAGTCTCTCTTGTCAATGCTTGTATTTTGTACAACAGAAATAAGGACAGACGTTCTTGAGTACCGTTGCTGAACTTCAAAATTGCTGTTGCTAAAGGGCTACTAGAACAGCATCAGTTTAGAACTGACAGGAGACACCTTGCTCCCACTGTAGCATTTACCATTGAGGCTCACTGAAACGAGACCATTCCCTGAAAAAATTCCAAAGGAGTCTCAGTTTGGTGGGAGACCGACATGTGAAGTCTGTAGAGCTCAAGGGAAAAGGTCACAGACAAGTTACAGATGCAAAGTCTGTAAAACTCCCCTCCATTGTCATCCTTGCATGGAGATATATCACATGAAACGTGACTACACAAAATAATGATGCAGAATAATATAACAAAACATAATATTGTAAAAATTGTACAAAATGTAGTATACACATATACAATAGTAACATACACGAAGATAGGTAACCACATATAAACAAGTGTAGCACACACATTTTATCTTTTCCCCTTATCTCCTTTCCCATAAATGCAGCACTAAGTTCTTGACATACACAAAAATGATAGAAACAACTACACTACTACATAAGCATAAGCCTTACTTCTGTCCACATCAGTTGTCAACATTTGACTACATCAGTAGTATGTATGGTTACCAAGGAAGTTGTTACTATGTGCTGCGCGTCTACTGCTTCACTAAAAGTAATCAGAAAACAATGGTAAAAATAAAAGCATACTCAAACTCACCTGAAAGTCTACGTATAGCATAGATGTAAGTGGAAGCCAGTTGGAGCATGAGGCTGGCAAAGAAAGCATGGAATTGATGGTAAAACAGTGATAGGTGTGGCTCGAGTGTGGTCACGATAGAAGAATCAAGTCTAGTCTGGCTTGCTCAGTATTCCCTATTTCCACTGAAGACACTTACCTGAAGACAGGTAAATGATAACTTATTACAATGGTTAGTGAATCCAAAATTTTTCAGTGTTCATGTTTAGGTACCGCCCGTCAAGTGTCAAGACAGATAGAATGCCACATATTTACCTAGTTATAGCAGTGTCAGTAAAGATTGATAGTTCATACAAGCAAGAAATAATCATTGTACAGCAGGTCTGAATACTGATTGTGATGAACAATACCAGTATGAGTGAGTAAAACACCCATGTCTTGCAGTCAAGCCTAGAATAAAGGAGTACTGACAAGTAGCTATAACTACATCTCAGTGCTATTCCTAGGGTCATCATTTTACACAGGGATGGAGACGGGTTATATCTAGGTCCTTGGTGCATTGTTTTCTTTTCTGTACCTTATAGCAAAAGGAAAGTGTTGATGAATAATTATGACAGGTTTATGGTGCTGGTGCTGAAAAATGGTTACATTCTTTCTTACTGAGACTGCCTAACGGTAGCAAACGGATATAAATCATTATTTTACTTGCATTTCTTCATATTGTATCGTTAGATGTGAAAATAATAGTTTTTGTAAAGTTAGTCCTTATTGCATTATGCATAGAGATGGAAAAAACATCGGTAGGCGTGGTTTGGGTGTTGTCACGATTGCGAAGGAAGAATCAAATCTAGCTTTATTGCAGTTTTCCTCCTTTATTTTCCTTTCTAATTCATTTTGTATCTCAAGATCTTAAAGACAGGTAAGTAATAACTTATTACAATGGTTAGTCAATCCAAAATCCTTCAGTTTTCATGTTTAAGTACCGCCCGTCAAGTGTCAAGATAGATAGAATGCCACAGCCATACCAACTTATATCAGTGTCAGTAAAAATTGATAGTTCATACAAGCAAGGAATAATCATTGTAGAGTAGGTCTGAATACTGTTTGTGATGAACAAAGCCAGTATGAGTGAGAAAAACACCTGAGTCTTCATTGCAGTCAAAAAATTGGTCTTATAAGAAGGCCAATGAAGGAGTACAGACAAACAGTTATAACTACATCTGAGAGCTATTGCTAGACTTATCAATTAACAGAGGGATTGAGGGGGTTTATATCTATTGCTATAGTGCATTGTTTTCTTTTCTGTACCTTATAGCTAAAGGAAACTGTTGATGAATAATTATGATAGGTTTATGGGGGGGTTGGTAAAACCGGGCTCGGGAGGGGCTCGGGCACGGGAAATGGCGGGGTAAAACCGGGCTGCCCCAAATTGGGGCCGGTTGCTTGAACTATTATAATGGACTGGAGTAAGGACTGACATGGAACTAGCAAGAACATAAAACAAACTACTGAGTAACTGTGCAATTGAATGATTATATATTCTTTTTATTGTTAAAAAAACAGAAGCTATGAATCCCCCAGGGCTTGGGAACAGGCTGAAGGCATCCCCCCTCTCATCCCATCTGTCTTCTAAGTCCACTTTAACTTTATCATTTTCCATTTCTGACTTTATTTGCTGTCACTGCTATCTTAATTCTCACTTTCTTTAATTTTGATTTTTATTAATATCATTTTTATTATTATATATATACATTATACTGATTATGATACTTATTTATATATCTATTCATTTTCCCCTTTTCTTTTTGTTTTCTGGGAGCCATCAGTTCTTGCTGGCATCCCTTTAAGATGTCTATACTGTATCAAACTTACTCAATTTTGTTAATTATAATTCAATTAAATTGCAAAACCATACAGAACTGCATGAACCATAAATAATTAAGGAAAAAAGATTTTACAGGTGAACATTATAATTATTATTTAAGAAAATAGTAAGCAAAACTACCACTTTTGTCTTTTATATATTTAGGGTTATATGCTACAAATCTTTGTTCTTTAGTCTTTTTTATCCCGTCATAGTAGTATGGCTTATTATGCCAATATATGACTGCAGTGTAATGCTCACAAGAATGAATGCTGTATCCTCCTAAAACGAATCTCTTTCCATACACTAAAATTTCTTTGGGAATTTGCATGATTTCAGAGCCACGTAATCTTGAAATTGATATAGGGATTATCCATGGATTTTTACTTGTAAAATGGGCCTCAAGCACAACTACTCTTCCATGACATTCATAATATTCCTCTCTCACTTCAGCTCCCTCATCATCAAACACAATGTGATTGTTGATTCCAAACTCAGTGCATCCCAGAGGTATATCGTCATCAGGAAACTTGGCTGCACAATATCCCTCAATCACTTCATTACAAGCTGGAAAGTTACCTTTGAGATGCTTTTCAATGTTAGCAGATGAAGAGAATGAAAATGTGTAAAAGTGTCTTATGTTCTCAATTTGCTTAGGACAATGTTGTGAAAGACACCTTTGCTTGACATAAACTCTCGATATGTTCCTTAACAGTGATAAAAACTTGGAATGCTCATTTCCCTTAAAATCGATCTTTGAATCCAAATACGATATATCAATTTTTGAAGAAATGTAATCAAGGAGAGCACCTTTACCTTCATACAAGTGACCAGCCAACATAAGTTGAACACTCCCATTTATAGCCTTTTCTATGTCTGAACTTCCCAAATTATTAAAGAACAGCGGATTCTGTAGACAGTGAAGCAATATTATTGTGAAACCATTATCAACAGTGCATGTATTAGTGTATTGATGATGGTGCCAAGGAATAGTTTCAGGAATGGTGCAATAGGCACATGTGAAATCAGTAGTACGTTTGGGGACTTTGGAGCCGCATATTCTAAGACAGTATTTATGAAACCATTCTTTGCACTTGCTGCAGTTATGAACATTGAATTGCTTTTGTTTTATTCCATAAAGCGCAACAGATGTTGAACCATCCACCCAAGGTGTAAAGCAATAGCATAATAAAGAAACCTTCGATACCTTGCGCTTACAAAATGCTACATCACACTCATCAACTGGAACTCTTTCATAGCTTCCTGTATGGATATAAGTACAGAGTGTTTCTCGTAATGCCACAGGATCAATATGTTTCAAAGATAAATCATCATTTGGATAGGAACAAGCCATAAGTAACAATGCTGCAGTCAGCTGATCTGGATATTCATCAGACAACTGCACACCACAGTGCTCCACATAGACTAAGCGGCATTCAGATCGTGTTGCTGTACCTGCATGGTATTCCAACTCCATCATGTCAGGGCTTGTATACACAGATATACACTAAATGATATTACACATAACAATAATTATGTTAACTAGAATAATCACCTGAACTCTTGGTACACCTTTGTCATCATCATCCATGCGTCGTAGAATTGCTATCTGTTTAGAACGCCTTGTCTCCATCAAAATCATCTTTTGCACAGGTAAACCAGCTATTTCCTATTGCAACATGTTTATGTGGTTCAGTAAATTTTGGCTTACTTCATCAACATTTGCTCTACAAACATAATTACAAAGCAAGAAACCAGGAAATGTTTCTGAAATTCTCTCCAGCAAATCATCCCATTCCACCATAACTTCATCTGTATCTGAACATAGAAATGGTCGATTTGTCTTGACATTAGTTGCTCGGTGGGACAAAACCATTTTAGTGTAACTATCACCTGATTTATGAAATAAATATCATCATTACATTACAATAATTAACCTCTGGTACCTTTGTTGTCATCTAATAATAGAGCCGTTTCAGAGTCTTGTTTCGATACACTCTGCTCACTCTCACTAATACCTACTTGTAACATTTGGTATGCATAATATGTGAGGTTTTCCACAAACCTAGATCAGACTCTAAGACCCCAGTTGACAAAACATTATTATTGTGGCTCTGAGGTGGTGCATATTCTGAAAGAAAGGTAATTGTGTTATTTAAATGTAAGGAGACAAGCATTTCCATACCCTCAGTGCATTCATCAGAACTAGTATCCAAGGCTTCAAAGTTAGCTATTATGATGTACTATTGGTAAACAGAAAAGTTAACTAACATCAGCCTTACTTTGTTTGACACGTTTTCTTTTAGGCTCTTCATTAACAAAGTCACTATCATCATCAGTATCAATTTGTTGAGACTTTCGCCTTTTCCTTCCTTTTGAAAAAATAAGAAACAATTTTATGAACAAGAATAATAAAAATGTCACCTGCAATACTGTCATCAGATTTGAGATGAAGGTTTCCTGTTGCTTTTTCATTGGATTGAGACACTGTTAGGTAAAATATGATAGGCAGTGTTAGATTATAAATATTTCTATACCTTTCTTAATACTGCTAACATTAAAATCTTTCTTCCTCAACTGCTTGCGACCAGATGGCTTCTCTTTGTTCTGTTTCCTGTTGTTATGGTGTAACAATGACGCATTGCATTTAGCTGTCCCAGAGACATCTTGTCCAGCCATTACTTTACAAGCCATAATATGGTAGCAGCTACTATTGCGGCACGAGCAGGTTTCTTTAGGAAAAAGAGTAACTGTGTGTGCAGTAACACCGTCAGTACCTTTTACAACCCAACACCCAGGAAAAGCTAATGTTACCCACTTGTTAGCCACTGCATCGTGGGCTAAGCCAAGTTGACTCTCCAATTTAGAGGTCGCTATCTTACTCGATATGCCACTGTCTTTATTCTCATGATCAGTTTCAAGTAAAATGGGCAGGAGTTCTCCTCTTGCTCTACTGACAATTTCTTTGGGTTCCACTGTTCGTGCCATATGTGGCATCAAAGAGGGCTCTCTCTCGTGAAAAGAAAAATCATCTTTCAGATGCAATGAACCACATTGATGGAAGCCTCTTTCCACTTCACGGTAATAGTAAGTACTGAGATAAAACAGGGAAACACACACAACATCTAAAGGCACTTGTTTCCACTGCTTTAGGCTGTGCAGAACAGCGTTGAATGACTCCGAAGGGTTGTTGGTAACACCCTTTTCAGGATTAACAATGCCTGCTTTCCTCAAAATCCAAATTGCAGAGTGCGCTTTAAAAACTGGAATCAGAGTCTTGTCAAAGTAATTACAGACCTTGTTGTTTGCAAGAAATCGCTTACGATGACGACAGTGTGACCAAGCCTTTTCAAAATTGGCCTCTGTTGTTTCCAACATTAGTTGCTTAAAAATATTAGCATAATAACTAATTTCACTAGATTTGCAGTTGGCTTTGCTTTTAAGATAATGAATTAAATCTTGCTCTAGGTGGTTCCAACAAAACACATGTGTACTATTTGGAAACACATGCCCAAAACGAAACTCTTGATCAGTGACAATAACACAACCTTTTGTTGCCAATACTGGTACAGATTGTCTTATAGATAACAGAAATGTTACATGGTCATTGTGAAAGCGTCGTGAATGTAGAAAAAAACCAATGGGAATAAGTGGGTTGTTGCAAAACATTGTGTGCCTGAAAAGCAAAGTAGAAAGGTAATAATTATCTATGTTAAACACAGTGTCGTAGTGCAGGATGACTGGATCACTAGACACTCGAAGCAATAGCTCCAAAGAATCCAGCAGAGGTTGAGGAATCATGTGCAATAAAATGGTTGGATGTAATGAAAGATGCCTGATAAAATCTAGCTTGTCTCCCTTCCTGTTCTTCATTAATAATTGGAAGCAGAGCTGGTACACATTAAAAAAAGAGTCGTGTGAGATTCGTTGCTCACGAGCCAGTTCCTTACGAAAGTTTCGTACTTGGTCAAAATTCCTTGGAGTATCGACTGAGTGATGTTGGCCACCTGTGCTATTATTCACCAACTTGTGGTAAACCTGTCTCACTGGCATCGATGGCTCTTCCTTAAGTATCTACATGAAAATGAAACAAAATGAGAAATAATAAACTTTATTTTTTATTTACATGTATTATTTTTTATTTGTCTGTTAAATATTATAGTACATAGCAAAGGCTAATTAACAAAGAATGTACAAATTTGTTACTTATACACATAGATTATAGTTTATTTATAATGTATGTAGACTTTTGAACAATTGTTCAATTCTTAGCTAAGCAAGTAATGCATGTCAAGAGAAAAAGGAGCCATATATATACCATATTATACGCCATATATTTCGTGGGGATTAAATTTTGCAATTTTTGCGTTTTGGAAAAATTCACGAGATTAATATCGGCAAAATAGCGTGCTAGCTGATTGTGCAGTTGGTGTGGTAATCATAGTAATGACATTGAAATCGTGAAATTTTTATTCGCAAATACAAAAAAGCAGCCAAACTGCAAAATTTTATACCAGTGAAATAGGCGTATACGGTATACATATTCCAGTTAGAACTAAGCTTTTAAAACTATTTACAATTTAGCTCTTGAACTAGAACTAAACTTTTTGAACTCTAGTTTTAGTAGCAGTACTAGAACAATATAAAGTTATAGTACTACGACAACAATAGTAAACAAGATAAACAATAATGAAAAATGGTCAGATCAAAACAGTTCCATTGCATGACATATACCTTTTCTTTCACACATGGGGCTGATCTAATAAATGGTCTCTTCTTGTACTTGCTGTTACGATGTGCAAACCCCTCAAAAATACTACAATCTCCATCATAGTGTAAGATAAAGCGGGTATCAACACCCCAATACTCATGTCTTTAGAATCTGTCATCCCCACTTGGAGCATCCTTTAAATCTATCATACCGCTCTTTTTCATAATCGTTATAGTCTGATGCTTTAAAGGATGGGTACCTTTATGGGACCAGCGATATTGATCACACCTGTCACAAAAGAAAATATAAATAATTACTAACTAAGCATTAAATTATTAATTACTAAAGCATGCAACTATCAATAGTAAATTATCTCACACTGCTTGTCATCCACATTACATCCCACACTTCCCCAGGGTGCTATTGATATCATGTACATACATTATTGACAAATTCTTTAGAAATACTGGTATTTTAATTTATACCTTAATTGTTTCCTCTTGCTATTATGCAGTGTTTCATCTAATCCCAAATCATAAATGAACATGCTCCCTCCAGCTGGCTTAACGGGTGGTAGAGTATTCAGCTTTCCTCTATCATTCAGAGCTTTCAAAAAGATGTCATATACTTCAAAAGTTGCTAAATTATGAGTCTTCCCTTTAATATAGGCACCATCATTGTCTTCTTCATCACCACCATCAGAGTCAACCACATCAAGATCAGAATGAGCGGGTTGCGGAACTTTAAGAACATCATCAGATGGAGATTTAGATCTATCACTAGTAATGGAAGTATCACATTTAGAAGAGAGCATTGGAGAGGGTAGATTTGACCAAGCAGCATCACTTCTTGGAGATAAAGAATCACTGTGATTGTCAGCATCTTCCATCGTGGCCTCTAGCTTTTCGCAGGCGTGAAAACACGTGTTCAAAATTGTGTACGGAAAGCTTTACTCCGTATACTTTAAACCCCAATTTGGGGCAGCCCGGTTTTACCCCGCCATTTCCCGTGCCCGAGCCCCTCCCGAGCCCGGTTTTACCAACCCCCGGTTTATGGTGCTGGTGATGAAAAATGTTTACATTCTTACTTACTGAGACTGCCTAACAGTAGTGAAGGGATTATAAATCATAATTCTACTTGCATTTCTTCATATTGTATTGTGAGTTGTCAAAATATTAATTTTTGGAAAGTATGTCCTTATTGTATTATGCATAGTGATGGAAAAAAACATTGGTAGGCGTGGTGCAAAGGAAGAATCAAATCTAGCTTTCTGGCAGTTTTCCTACTTTATCTTCCTTTCTAATTCATTATGGATTTCAAGATCTTAAAGACAAGTAAGTAATAATTTCTTACAATTGTTAGTGAATACATAATCCTGCGGTTTTCTTGTTTAGGTGCTCTCCGTCTATCGTCAAGACACATACAATGCCACAGCCATACCAACTTATATCAGTGTCAGTAAAGATTGATAGTTCATACAAGCAAGGAATAATCATTGTAGAGTAGGTCTGAATACTGTTTGTGATGAACAAAGCCGGTATGTGTGAGAAAAACACCCGAGTCTTCATTGCAGTCAAGAAATTGATTTTATAAGAAGGCCAATGAAGGAGTACAGACAAAAAGTTATAACTACGTCTGAGTGCTATTGCTAGACTTATCAATTCACAGAAGGATTCAGGGGATATATATCTATTGTTATAGTGCATTGTTTTCTTTCCTGTACTTTATAACTAAGGGAAAATGTTCATGAATGTGACCCCTACTTGTAGTTGGTGCTGGAAAATAGTTTTACCATCCTGCAATTCATTTACTGAGATTGTTTAATGGCAGCAGAAGGATTACAGATCATTTTACTACCTGCATTTCCTTTTATTGTACTTTTAAGTTTTCAAAACTATGGTTTTTGTGTTATTGCTATATTTATTGTTATGCAGCAGAAATCATCTGACCACAGCAATTATTTTTAATTTTTAACCCGCTCCGTCAAAGGGTTATTTTTCTGTCATACAACAACCCTACCTGTGTCATAACTTACATAATAATAATATTGATTGCACAGTTGTATTCTATATTCACATACTGCATGCAAGGAAGCCATATACATTATTATAATTATTACTCTAACCTCCATGATTGCTACTACAGTAAGTTCTTCAAGCTCCTATTCCATCAAACGGCTTAAGTTATTCACTTTACAATATCTCCCTATCATTTGTGGGGCAAACCCTCTTCTGTTGGGATACCTCCGAGAAAGTTCCTCACTGATACCGTCGTACGTAAGCCCACATTTGATATAGTAATCCTCTACTGATAATGGGACTTCCTTCATGAAAGCTAGATTATGAGAGAAAGTGTGTCCAGACTAGGGGAGAGGGGAGAGATGGTGTGAGTTAGTGAGACTGTGAGCTATAGATATGGCGATACGTAGTCTAGACATAGTGCGCATGCGCAGATCACCATTCCTCTATTGCAATTTTGAAATTTTTCCAAATCCAGAGTTCGCTAGGCAAAATAATAGCAGTCATGGCATCAATTTTGTAAATCCTTACTCCTTTCCGTTTTCAGGAATCAAATGGCCACTTTATTACACTGATTTTTAATGAATCCACAACTTTTGTATTGTGTGTGGGTTCAACAGTTGTATCTGTCTTGAATGGAATCGAAAGTTGAGTGTATTGTCCTGTTTATATGTGTTCAACAGTTGTATTATCTTGAATGGAAACGACAGTTGAGAGTATTGTCCTGTTATGTGTGTTCAACAGTTATATCTGTCTTAAATGGAATGGACAGTTGAGTGTATTGTCCTGTTTATATGTCTGTTCAACAGTTGTATCCGTCTTGAATGGATTCGACAGTTGACAGTATTGTCCTATTTATATGTGTGTTTAACAGTTGTATCCATCTTGAATGGAATCGACAGTTGAGTGCTTTGTCCTGTTTGTGTTCAACAGTGGTATCTGTCTTGAATGGAATCGACAAATGAGAGTATTGTCCTGTTTATATGTGTGTTCAACAGTTGTATCTATCTTAAATGGAATTGACTGTTGAGTGTATTGTCCTGTTCATATGTCTGTTCAACAGTTATATCTGTCTTGAATGGAATCGAGAGTTGAGAGTATTGTCTTTTTATATTTCTGTTCCACAGTTGTATCCATCTTGAATGGAATCAACTGTAAATGTATTGTCCTTTTTAAATGTGTTCAACAGTTGTATCCGTCTTGAATGGAATCGACAGTTAAGTGCATTGTCCTGGTTATATGTGTGTTCACCAGTTGTATCCGTCTGGAATGGAACCGACAGTTGAGCCTATTGTCCTGTTTATATGTGTGTTCAACAGTTCTATCCATCTTGAATGGAATCGACAGTTGAGAGTATTGTCCTATTTATATGTCTGTTCAACAGTTGCATCCGTCTTAAATGGAATCGACAGTTGAGTGTATTGTCATGTTTATGTGTGTTCAATAGTTGTATCTGTCTGGAATGAAATTAAAAGTTGAGTTTATGGTCCTGTTTATGTCTGTTCAACAGTTGTATCCATCTGGAATGGAATCGACAGTTGAAAGTATTGTCCTGTTTATGTTAATGAACTAAGCAGTATAAAATTCAATTTGAGTTATAAATAGCAACTATTGTTACATGTTTTAATTATTTGTAATTTTTTCATTTTAGAATAAACGTTGCCAATCAGTGGAAGCACGCCGAAAAAGGAAAAGGTGCCTCACGAATAAAGAAAGAGGGTTGCTGCTGAAGGTGTACATGTAGATAGAGAAAGATTAAAGACCCCAAGTGACTTCTCTTATGTGAGTAATGAACAATCTTTAGTGATTTCTCTTGCTTCAGAAACTTCATTTAGGTCAGCAACTTTTCCTTCACCTACGCCTCCACCTAGTTTTTTTTATTCATCTGAAACTGATGACGCCCTTGATCCTTGCTTGCTTCAGTATGAACTAGAGAAGGAAACTAATTATTGCTCACCAGACAATGTAAGTGTCACAACTGAAGACCTTTTAACCCATGTAAAGAAGACTACAGATGAACTGTTAAACAAAGCCTAGAAGTACAAGAGTGCCTGCGAGACTAAAGAGGAAATAATTAGTGACATGAGAGTTGAAAAAAAGTGAGAATTAAGTAGTGTCAGAGATTTTTATTATTATGTTTTAGTTGGTCATTCTCGTTCTGCAACTATACTTAGAAATGCTTTGTCTGTACAATAATTAATGTTTGTTATTATTATTATTATTATTGATATTATTGTTACTTTTGTTTCTATTTAATACAATTAGAGACAAAGCTACTTTTTCAGTCACTGAAATGATTTTGATTATAGCCTACAGTTTATTTTGCTAATTGATAATTCTTGCTGACATCTTATCATAGTCTTGCAATAATCTTGTCAAACATAGGCTCTTGTATTAAAGTCCTGCCAAGATCTTGTCCAAGATATGATCTTGCTATTTCTTGGGATATCTTGCTTATCTGTTAAGATCATGGGTTTTCTGATAAGAACTCATTAAGAAGTGATGTGTGGGATGTGAAGAACCTGGGGGCTTTGCCCCCAGCTCATTAAAAATGTCTTTTAAGTAATGAATGTACTACACAATACTACACTGACACCATTAACTGAAATAAAAAAATGGTACAGAATGCATTATATCATCAAAGTCCAATTACCTTGATTGGAATATTTGTGTCACTAACAAAACTTGCATGACACCCATGAAAGTCATGTTGTACCTGTACCACATTAATTGTAATCATCATGATTTAGTGATACATGTACTTGATTATATGCAGTGTAACGACATTTTAGCCTCGGCCATTTTAGAGTGTAATTGTTTAGTTTGATTTTCCTTAGCTGTACTTATTAGCCTGTGAGTTTACATTGCTTACCTTTGATATGTTTCTATTACTATGCTTTACAGGTAATTACAGCTGGAAATGATTTGCTGATTCAGCAATACTTTTGCTTGATATTGGAATGTGCAATATAATGAAAGGCGATTCTGTATTTAGATTTTGTAACTAAATTCATTTATTAAATGTTATTTAATGGTTTGTTGCAGCTCCTTGATTAGTAGTTGTATCATGCCGTACGAGGTGCCAGTTTACATATGTATAGGTTTCATATTACTGTAGTCTTAGCAATGGAATATGTAGTAAGATGGAGAGTATTGCGAGATGTCTTATGTATTTTGTTATACATGTAAGTTATGATTCTAGGTGACATACTGTATATTCGTTTCATGATTATATCATAAATTATGGCCACAGTAAGTACTTTCTTTACTTAATATAAATGAATGCTTGCCAATGCATCTTTTTTTGTGTGCATGGATGTTCTCATTAACAATACAATAGTAATTGTTTGCACATTGGAATATATTCATGTGGTCTATTAATGTGTATTTACACAATGCAGGTCTCATAAAAGAAACTTAATTCAGGATGGCATGAGTCAGCAAATCGAACATTGTTTGTCTAAATTACATGTACAGTGTATGTACATATACTTGTATGAGTCAATCATAGCTTAATATGCATTGTGGAGCTATACATGTAGTATATGTATATTAATTGTTGATAAATGCATGTATGCTACTGTTAATTTGTTAGTACATGACTGCAATGTGGTGTTAGAGAATAAGGTCAGACTTGAAAAGAGTTTTAAAAGGTGAAGGGTTTTTGCTCTTTGTGAGCAGATGTATTTTATTAGTGGTTTGTAATGTATGTTTGTGACAAACATAAGTTATGTCAAGCATATACATGTACATATTTAGTATAGCATATATAGCCTGTGTGTTTACATTGCTTGCTATTGATGATGTTTCTTTCTTACTTTGCTTTAAGGTATTTTTAGCTGCAAATGATTTAATGATTCAGCAATATCGT